TTTCTGTGTAACGAGGGCTGTTGACTTATTATATAAAGCCTTTATTATGTTGAGGTGTGTTCTCTGTATACCTAATTTCTTTAGCATTTTAATCATGAAGGAATGTTAAATTTTATCAAATGCCTTTTCCGCACCTAGTGGTTAAATATTTCTACCTTTTTCTGTTGATGTGGTGTATATCATGTTTATTGATTTGCATATGTTGAACTATCCTTGCATCCTGGGATGAATCTTACTCGATCATGGTGAATAAATTTGGGATGAATCTTACTCGATCATGGTTAATAATTTTTTTAATGTGGTGTTGGAGTTGTTTTGTTAGTATTTTGTTGAGGATTTTTGCACATATGTTCATCAAAGGTATTGGTCTGTTGTTTTCTTTTTTATTGCGTTCTTGAATGCTTGTGATAACAGTGTAATGCTGGATTCATAGAATATATTTGGAAGAATTCTTTCCTCTTCAATTTTTTGGAATAATTTAAGAATAATTGGTATCAGTTCTTCTTTAAATGTTTGGTAGAACACAGCTATGAAGCTCTGGTCCTGGGCAATTGTTTGACTCTTAAACATTTCTGTGTCTTATTTTCTTGGTAATGAGTATGTATCTTTTTTCAAAAAATCGAAATTATTTTACTATAGATAAACAAATAGCTAAAAATAAATTAGATATATCAATTAAAATGCCCAAAACAAATCTCACAGCAATAAATTACTATGAAATAATTACTAATCTCATGAAGAAAGAAGGTAATGAAGAAGAAGAAGAGGAGGGAAAAGGAGTAAGAAAGGAAACAAAGGGAGGGGAAAAGAAGGATGCAAGGAAGTTGAGAGGAGAAAGGACGTCTCCCTGTCATGTAAGACAGTGCAGGCTAGGAAAGGGCCTGCTTGGAAGTGCAGCCCCACATGGGTCCTGTGCTCTTCCCATAGCAGGCCTTGCTGCTATGGGCCTTGTGCCTGCACAGGCCCTGTCTGACTCTCACCTGACTCTCTCTGCAGTGTTCCGTTAGCTGTGGGATTGGACTCCAGAGAAGGAAGCAGGTATGTCAGTGGCTGACTGCCAAAGGCCGGCGCGTCCTGCTCAGTGAGGTGGTGTGCAGGGACCTCCCAGCGCTCCCTCTCATCAGACCCTGCCAGATGCCCGCGTGCGGTGGTAAGTATGCAGTGACCATCTCCACTGAGACGTGCCCATTCTGGGTGTTCCTTCCTGCCAGCTTCATTTTCTGTATATCAGCGAATTTCTAATCTGTGAGCAAAGCAGTTGGGGCAGAACTCAGATGTTTTGTGCCATGGATGATAGAATGTGCAAGACCGAGGTACGGTTCTCAGAAAAGGCAGTTTGGGGAAATATCTGCCCACTTAACAAATGCATCTTTGAGGCTCCCTGGCCTGGATTTATATTGTCTACTTCACCATGGCTTCTCCCACCTAGAATTCATGATCATGCCTTGCATATATTAAGCTGCAATTCTGGTTTACTTTCTAATAAAGTATTTGTATTTGGATGATTAAAAGCAGGAGAGCTATTTTTTAGTATTAAAGTATTTTTATTCAGGATAATTGAAAACCAACATGCAATAAAAACATGAAATATGTTTGGTTTGAAACAGCAGTTTGGAGACCTCTCCAATTAATTGTAAATACTAAGCTGAATAGAAAGAGTTAATATCATGGCTTCCCTCTGTTCAAAGCTAATTACACATAGCTTTCACCTGTATTCTCAGTGTCCATGAGATGATACATATGTACACATGCATGTACATGTTTCATGTAAAGGGATCACAAAGAATGAATTCAGAGTTGCTGCAGAAGTGATTGGAATCAGGCAGCAGAGAGGTGGTGGGGAGGCAGGACCAGGGATGCTGAGAATAATGGTTCCAGGGTGATTTTCCTGCTTTGCGTTTACACTGTCTTTGTTCATCAGTAAGATAATTTCAGAATCATCTGTAAAACAGTACTCAGTACCTCAAGTACCTCCTGAACAGTTGTTATTTTAATACTGCTCGAGAGGCATGTGTTGACTGACAATTTTCCTGGAGGAACTCACAAAACAAAATAATAAAAACATTAAGGCAAACTAAAATGCAGTCATGTTTATCAAGCACTTGCTATGAAGAGTTCCTGACGTGCATTTTCTCATAGAGCCCCCCCCCAACAATGCTACAAGACAGACATCCCCACTTGGAGACAAAGAATCCAAGGCTTAAGCTTGAGAATGGCCAGTTGGACTGCTTGGCCTATTTGACCACAGGCCCATCTAATTCCTGAGCCCTCACTCTTAACTGTTTCTCTTTGCTGATTCATGGACAGCATCAACATTTTTTCCTGGGAGTCCTTTCAGAAAAATTTTCAGAATTTTGAGATTCCAGAAGCTTGAGATTCCAAGTTTTTAAATCTCCTGGAATTTAAGAATGTCTGTGGCAAATGGCACACAGTCATGCTTTGTTCGATCTACTTATCTGACTTTTATTAATTGTGGATGGTTGCATGGCATTGTGAACAGACTGTGACCCACCTTAGACAGTGAAATTAAAGTCATACTGGCAGCTTCCTCTAAAACAACAGAATAGCATGTGGGAATGCATCATAGCTATTAGGGCATGCAATGTGGTACAGGATGAAATTATAAATTATGGCTCAGTATGGAACAGAATCAAATTACACATTTTATTTTTTACTCTTTTTTTTATTAATTTTCTTGGTACATTTTAGGCATACAATATAATGACATTCATCATTGGAAATTTGTGCCTTTATGTAATCTATCTTGATTCTTGTTTTTTTTCTATTCCCCTGCCCTCCCTTCAACCCCTTCACTCCTCCCTATTTACAAGACTTTGTTTCCATTTTTTCATTTTCTCATATTAATTCCATTCCCTTCTTTCCTTTTCCCTACCCCACTTTCCCTTCCCCTTTGCCCCTCTTCTTCCTATTTCAAATTATCTATTATAGCTTTTAGTCCTTATTTACACTTTCAGTTTCTCATGCGAGAGAAACTATTCAGTGTTTACATGTGTGTCCTATTTATTTCACTTAAAGAGTATCGCCTCAGTGTGCATCCATTTAGCTATAAATGTCTCTAATTTCTCATTCTTTATGGCTGAGTAGTACTCCATTTTATTAAAAAACCAGTCTCTAGTTAATGAGCAATTGGGTTGTTTCCATGTTTTGCCTATGACAAACTGCTGCTATGAATGTGGGTGCACATGTATCTCTGTGGTATGATTCTTTTCATTCTTTTGGGAAGATACCCAGCAGGGGAATAGCTGGGCCAGTTGGGACCTCTAATACTAGCTCTTTGATGTATCTCCATCCTGATTTCCACAGTGGTTGCACCAGTCTACCAGCAGTGCAGCAGTGCAGTTTTTTCCCACAAGCCCCACCAGCATTTGTTATTGGTTGACTTCATGATAGCAGCTTTTCTTCTGCAGTAGGTGGAATCTCAGTGTTTTCATTTGCATCTCTCGAATGAGCAGCGATGTTGAACATTTTTTCATGTTATTATTTGCTATTTCTACTTCTTTGTCTGGGAAATGTCTATTCATTTCAGATGCCTGTTTATGGATTGGGTCTCTAAATTTGGCAGGTCTGATTTTTTAAAGTTCTGTATATATTCTAGATAATAGACCTTTGCTAAGGAATAGGTGGTGAAAAATTTTCCCACAAGTTGTCTTTTCACACTGTTGGTGGTTTCTCTTCCTGTGCAGAATCTTTTTACAAGGTAGCTATCCCACTTGTACATTGTGTTAGTTCATGTGCATCTGAGGTTTTGTTCATGAAATCTTTTCCTACACCAATGTCTTCAAGAGTTCTGCCTAACCTCTCTTACAGCCAGTTCAGTGTTTCTGTTTCAATATTTAGATCTTTGATCTGTTTCAATTCTAATTTAGTGCATGGTGAGATTCATAGGTCTAGTTTTAATCTTTGGCAAGTCAAAAACCAGTTTTTCTAGCACCATTTATTTATTTATTTATTTATTTTTGTATTCACCTAAATAGTCAGGGAACTTTCACCTATTTTATTTAGGTTTCCATATTTTTCAACCCAACCAGAAACTAAATACAATTAGAAACCAGTAAGCACTAGTTTTACTCCAAAGGAGCAGAATCACTCAGATTTACTCCTGTAGAAGTATGCAGCCCTTAAGCAAAGATTTTCTTCATTTAAAAGAACAAAACAAAAACTATGCAGTAGTCACTCCTTATGTTCATTGCACAAAATGAGTCGTGCTTTTAAACTTTGACACTGGCTATTTTTATGATTTAACTTTTAAATAACTTTTTCTATATCAAAAACCCACAACTTTTTCTTCAGAATGGTGTAACTAGAATTTCAGATCAATTCACATGAATTATTTTATAATTAAAATATCTTCTAACACCAAAACACAAAACAAAAACCCAAAATTCCTCTACCTATTGTGGTTTCTGCAGTTATGAATATATTTGTTTACAGCTGCTTTAGCTTCTTCAGATTCCTTATCCTCTTTAATGTTTATAAATGCACCCACTCAGCAGAATACTATTTATAACAGCAACTTGGGGGAAGAGATCTTGGGGGAAAAAACATATTTATGTACCAAGAAAACAAACATAGCCCAGTAAAATATGAGGCAAGAATGCCTACAATGAGATGCTTTTGTCATCTATCTAGCACCATTTATTAAAGAGGCTACCTTTCCTCCAGTGAGAGTGTTTGGCTTCTTTGTCGAAGACGAGGTGGCTGAGTGTGTCTGGAGTTGTTTCTGTATCTTCTAATCTATTCCACTGGTTTTTGGGTGTGTTTGTTTGCCAGTACCATGCTGTTTTTATCACAGTAGCTTTGTAGTATAGTTTCAAGTTAGGGGTTGTAATACCTGCTATGTTGTCTTCTTGTTCACAATGAATTTTTGGACTATTTTCTCAAGGTCCATGAAGTATGCTGCTGGAATTTTAATTGCAATTTCAATGAATCTATAAAGCACTTTTTGAAGAATGGCCATTTTCACTACGTTGGTTTTTCTTTCCAAAGAGCAAGGATTTCTTTCCATTTTCTGATATCCTCTTGGATCTGTTTTTTCAGAGTGTTATACTTTTCAGAGTAGAAGTCTTTGATTTATTCTGTTAGGTTGATTCCTAGATATTTCAATTTTTTTTGGATGCTATTGTGAAGGGAATTGTTTGCTCCATTTTCTGTCAGTGAGTCTGTTTTTTGTGTACATGAAAGCTATTGATTTTTGTGTGTTGAGCTTGTTTCCAGCAACTTTACTGAATTTGGTTATTAAGTCTAGAAGACTTTTGGTGGAGTTTGGGGCCTTCTATATAGAGTATCATGTCATCAGCAAATAATGACAGTTTGACTTCTTTCTTTCCTATCTTTCTTCATTTTATTTCTTTCTCTTGTCTAATTGTTATGGCACATGATTCCAAAACTATATTGAACACAAGTGGTGATAGTGGATATCCCTGTCTTGTTCTTGGTTTCAGTGTGAAAGATTTCGGTTTTAGACCATTTAGTATGATATTGGCTGTTGGTTTTTCATAGATGGCTTTTAATAAAATTGAGGTAAAGACCATCTATTCCAGTTTTTTGTAGGATTTTTATCATGAATGTGTGTTGGATTTTGTCTAATGCTTTTTAATGGAACTCGGGACCTTGTTCTTGCAAGGCAGGTGGTGGAAACACTGAGCTAAGTCCCTGGCCCTTTTTGTAGGGTTCTTATGATGAATGTGTGTTGGATTTTGTCAAATGCCTTTTCTGCATCTATTGAGATGATTGTATGTTTTTTCTCCTTGGCTCTGTTAATATAGTGTATTATATTTATTGACTTGTGTATGTTTAACCATCGTTGCATCCCTGGCATGAATCCCACTTGATCAGGGTGTATGATCTTCTCGATGATCTTCTGCATTCTATTGAAATATCTTATTAAGGACTTTTGCATCTATGTTCATTAGTGAGATTGGCCTATAGTTCTCTTTTTCAGTTGTGTCTTTTTCTGCTTTGGGGATCAAAGTGATTCTTGCTTCCTGGAATAAATTTGGGAATACTGCTTCCCTTTCAATTTCATTGAAGACTTTAATCAGTAGTGGCAATAGTTCCTTCTCTAAATGTCTTCTAGAATTCTTCATTGAAGCCATCAGTGTCGGGGCTTTTCTTAGCTGGTAAATTTTT